AAATGTACAAACATATAATACAGCTTACATCTCTGTTTCCTCTGTTTAGCTGATAATACTGCTTTCTGTGAATTTATCCGGTCATTTTTTCCCCCTAACTTTTGTGTTGTTGGTGAAGATTCTCTATGTGTTGTTTCCGTATAATTTATCTTCTTTTAGAATGCTTTGACAGAATAAAACCTTAGGAAAATAAACATTAAAATATTAAGTATTTCTGTAACAATTTAGTAGTTTGAGAGTTTCTTTTCCAGTTAGGTTTTGGATAAATAACTCCTTACAACGAGTCATGTCAGATGCTCATGTATTTATTTTCAGGGGAACTCTTATCTTTCTATTTGTCACGTCTTCTTGGTATACATAACGTCCCTGCAGTAACTCTGTCAGTGCCAAGTATTGGTGAGCAGTGGAAAAAAAGAAATGTTTCGAGCTTTCTTTCTAGATCTGGATGGACATTAAACTCTACCGTTGCCTTAATTCAGTGGGTTAATCATCTCGAACGGTAAGGCTTATGTTTTAAAAAAATATTTTCAACATTTTATTTCACAACTATACAATTCTCTCTCTTTAACTTCGCTAAGTAATCTTCGGTTGCTTGGCATATAGAAAAGTTATTCTAATAATCACTTGAATAATTTAGACAATTTTTGTATTTCAATACGAGGATAAGTTTATTTAGGTTATATTGAAGTAAACAATAAAAGCGAAGTATCTATGATCACAACTAGAAGATTAACCTGGTGACGAATATAGCTAACTTAATATACAGTTCTCACTTATAATGATTAGAATTCGTTGATTCGTGAGCCGACTGCTAAGAATGACGTCATCAACTTTTTGTGAGTTTTAGAAGTAACATTTTTGCTAGTTTTATTTACGGAAAGCTCATTGAAAATATGCTCATGCAATATCGAAAATAAATTAATTAATTAATGATTTGACCAGTTACTGGTAAAAGAAAATAATCGTTGTTAAGTTGCACAGAATTTTCCAACTGGATTATAAGCGCAAGTGTAGACTTTTAATGACATTTTAATGGCTGAAATACCTTTCATCGTACTGTATTGAAATGAGACAATTCTTGTTTGTTTGTTGCTAAGAATAAAGATACACGAGCTTTCTGTACTCTGCCCATTTCGAGTAACGAAACTCGATGTTTTACGTTAAAAAAACCCAGACTTACCACTGAGCCACCAGACGGCGAGAATTCTTGATAATTGCTAAACGTTATTAACATATTCAGGATTAAAAGAAAAGGTTTTGTATTAAAACTGTAGCCCTAGCGCTCTTCTGTATTAGCTTTCAGTAATTGTATGAAGTGTGTTTGTAGCATCGTATACAGATTGAAATGGCACTTCACCTGCTGGGGTTTCTTAGTGAGGGGGGTAACATCCAGTGAGAAGTTGGGTTTCTTATTGAAGGAGTAATATCCAGTGATAGGTTGGGGTTTCTCAGTGAGGGAGTAACATCAAGCGAGAGGTTGGGGTTTATCATTGAGGGGGGTAACATTCAACGAGAGGTTGGGGTTTATCATTAACGAAGTAACATCCCACGACAGGTTTGGGTTTATCAGTGAGAGAGTAACATTCAGCGAGTGATTGGGATTTTCAGTGAGGGTGTAACATCCAGCGAGAGGTGCATGAACTCATTTGGCGCTACTAAAATCCTATTGTTTAAGAAATTGTCTGGCTAGAGATTACCGAGTTTAGTAGTAACAACATCTCACACGGTTCGTTATTCTGATGTTCAGATGTCAATGGAAATCGACTTTTCGATTATTTTGTATCCCACAGGGAGAGAATGCCAAAAATCCTGCTCCATGCTTTAGAGAAACAGCAAACAATTTCTCGAAAAACTTTGGAACTTCGGAACCTAAGCACAGAACAAATTGTAGAGCTTGCGCAGTGGAGTGATCTGATCATTTTTGACTACGTCACTGGGAATTATGATAGGTAAGACTGGCATGAACCAAATGTTTTAGTATTATACAATATGAACGCATGTATCCTATAGGGTTATAAGTGATTTACAGTAATTTTGTCGTTTAACCTTATAGTTCCAAAGGAAAGAACATAATTATTTTCAAAGGAGAAAAACGAAATGATAAGGTGTACTTCTGTATAACAAATGCGTGCACTTTTCACGTTTCCTTACTTGTAACAGGTTCCGCGTGATTCTTGATAATCCATAATATTCTTTTTTTGAATTAACTAGTTGAAATATATCATTCGGTGACGTCAAGATAATCCATCGAAAGTTTTATGTCACGATGCACGTATTCTTGTTAGGAAAAGTCTAAACATATCTAGTTTAACATAAATTATTCGTTAAAGTAAGAAGTGTTAACCCCAAATCCATTCCATAACAATGAATTTAACGCTACAAAAATTCCATGAACAAGGAACTTTAATCGACTCGCAGGCATCTGTTAATCCCTAATAATGCTGTGGGGAGATTGGTTATTAGTTTTCTTCTTGTAACACGATGTTGCAAAGTTGCCTCCTTTGACAATGGAGTAAGCAATGGATTTTTTAATATCTTCCAATATTTATGTATTGTTGTAAAGTTACCTCTTATGAAAATTGAATAAGCAATGGATTTTTAATATCTTCCAATATTTGTGTATTTATTGCAAAACTACTAATACTATCTGCCGCCATCCCTAATTTTGAACTACTGTCAATCAGCAGCCCCCACTATCTACGTTAAGGGATTGAAAGTCACTCTTATAATGCACTCAAAGCTTAAAGTGCAGGGAATATTTTATAGTATTGCATGCATTCAGATCCAACTCGCCAGCTCCGAAATCTAGAGTTTTACTACAAGGCCAAACTGCCCACATTTTCCAATAAAGAAGAAATTAGTTAATGTAGAGGCTTCTGAAATTTCAAGAAAAAAACAGTACGTAGAAATTACCCGGTCACTTTTTTTATTTGTTACCATTTTCTGCTTTAAAAAAAATGGGTGTTGTATATTAACAATTTAACACCAACAGAACAGAAGGTTCCAACAGGATAAGAGAACAATCAGTGTAATAGCAATTTATAAAATTTCCGCCTAAAAGTATATATTTTAATACAGTTAACAGAAATTATAATGAAATCAGAAAACACTTCTACTCTGAAATAATCGTTGAAATTTCACTAAAATGTACGAATTCCAAATTAAAAAAAAGAGCATTCATTGATATACTTTTACTCTAAGTATGATATTGTATTGCGCATATTTTCGCCCTTTAGATGTCTGGAATCCTAACTAAGAAGTGTTTACAGTACTCGCTCTGCTGCTCGAAGGCAGAAAAAGAAAACAGGTCCAACAGTTTCTTTCATACCTTCTGATGTAGTGGAGGAGATTGATTTTAGTATAAAAGGTCGAGATTACGAATTCATTAGGTTTACTATACAAGAAAATGGCACTGAACTGGAGCTAGATCCAACTGATAACAAGTCTGAAGGCGAAGAAAGTAGAGACATCAGCGACAAAGATGAGGAACGAGATCACTCTACAAGCGATCAAAAAGGGAAAACCAAATAAACTGCAATAAGAATCTAGGTACAAGACTTTGTATTTCAAGACATTAACGATTGTTGTTTGTTTGTAATTAAGCACAAAGCTACACAATGGGCTGTCTGTGTTCTGCCCACCACGGGTATCGGTACCCGGTTTCTAACGTTGCAAGTCCGCAGACATACCGCTGTGCCACTGGGGGTCGCAGACATTAACGACTGACAATACCATTAGTCAATATGACAAATCAAACTAACAAACATGCAATACAAAAGGTGGTAAAACTTCGAACGCTACTGAAGCCGAGATCATCAGTTTACAAGGGATCTACTTGTACTATGATATAGAGCAGGGGTGAAATTCTCAAACAACAAAAGTAGAGGTACTTAGTTTGGTGAAGTGGACCAGTTTTTGAAAAAGAAAAAAATCAAAGAAGCTAAAACAAGTCCCAGTACTAGATATTGCCTTAAATAACGTATTCCAGTACTCAGTACCGGTGAGTACCGGCACAATTTCATCCGATATAGAAATAGTTTTCAACTACAGATTTTACTGGTACTGATTCTATAGCTGAAGAAATGACTCACAGTCGTTTTGAGGATCTGCTTAAGTACTGGAAGCGATCCAACTCTTCAAAATTCGGTCTTTGCTTGAAGAAATTTGAATAAACATGAGGAACGACATTCAACTGATAAACAAATTGTTCCCTTCAAAGGTATTTCGTTCATTTATGAAACAGTACTTGAGGATATCAAGCCCCACAAGTGGGATTTCAAGAGCTGGAGCAGGAGGAGTCGGCGGACTGACTTGTGACTTTGTAAAAGTAAAGAAGAAAATAAAGATAAGGTGTTGCTGAAGATATTTTAGTAGGTTTGACAAATGATCTGCCCTTTGATATGAACTTCAAGGTGTATTTTGATAACTGAATAACATCATTTGAAATGTGGGACTATGGGGACCATCCGGAGCAATCTTCCGAGAAACTGCACTATGATTGTGTGTTTGTTATTTTAATTTAGCGCAAAGCAACACGAGGGCTATCTGCGCTAGCCGTTCCTAATTTAAGACTGAAGAACTAGAGGGAAGGCAGCTAGTCATCACCACCCACTACCAACTCTTGGGCTACTCTTTTACTAACGAATAGTGGGATTGACCGTAACATATATCGCCCGCACGGCTGAAAGGGCGAGCATGTTTGGTGGAACGGGGATTCGAACTCGCAACCCTCACATTGCGATTCGAGCGCTCCAACCACCTGGCCGTGCCGGACCTCTGCACTATGAATTGGGAGAGAACTAAAGAAGTCAGGAAGAGGAGATTATGACAAAAGAATTGAAATTACCTCTAGACTGAGTGTTGTGAGATTGATGGATAATAAGACTGGTACAGGTAGTTTCTTCCTACTGTGAATTTAAGCCTAAAAATGAACGAAGCCGATGGAGAAACAAGGACAGATAATATGGAAGTTGAAAAAGTGCTATAACAAAGAAGTATAATACAAACATGGGAGGGCTGGATTTGGTGGACGTTTTTTCTGGAACGATACCGCGTTGATACTCGTTCAATGAAACAGTACACGAGACTTGTATACTATACGTGTGTTTCAACTGTATATGTTTCCTGCGACATGTCAAATAACTTAGTGAAGCAGACGTGCATCTTATTGGAATGGGTAGAGCTGAAACTTCCCTGAAAGTTGGTAAGCCTCTCAAGAAAGTACGTCATCGCATGGTGAACAGTGACAATCTGGTAGTGCGGAAAAAGAAGAAGCTAAACCTTCTCACAGGCTAGCTAAAGACGTTCGCTTTGATGAAATGTCCATTGACAAGTTGTAGATGCCAAGCAGGCAAGATTTAAATTTTATTCAAAAGGTTGCACAAAGCTTATATGTTGAAACTGTAAGATTGCTTTTAGAATCTCGGCATAACATTACAGTTTGAGCACTTGTAGTTTGAGCCATGTTCTTGCAGGTTTATGCGATTGCGTATGTGGGTAATAAATACTTTGTTTTCACCCACTAGAACTATCATAATCTTCTGTTGTAAATTTACTACTCTAAGGATGTTGTATCGACCAACAGAAGCAAAATAAACAGGTTTTTTTT